CCCGTCGAACCCAGTTTTTAAGTCGATAGCCTCGACCGCCCTTAACTCTCAGATCATTGAACGGAATCCATCGCCATGGAAGGAATTCAATGTGGCCTATGCAAATGGCCACAGGAGGCACAGTTCGGTCGTGTTCGTCTCGGATTGTGATATCAAGCTGGGGCTTGACCAACCTTCTCTTGTCTATACAGGTTCCGTATTTGACGGCGTAGGTCAAGGCACTTTCTCCCTCTCGATTTTGTATCCGAAGATCAATCTTCTGATGACTGAGCAGAAGTTCGAGAACATCTATCGATCCATGTTGAATAGCTCTCATCAACGGAGTCTTTCCATGCGGGAAGGTGTTGGCATTGGCGCCATAAAGAAGCAGGAGCTCGGCCCGAGCATAATCGTTGTCTCTGGCTGCCAGGTGCAGGAGATCGCTGTTCTGGTACTGAATGTTGTACTTGAGGATGCTGGGCTGCAATCTGCAGTAAAGATTCCAACATGATTTACCCAAGGAGACCATGTCACAAACGTTGAGCTGAGTGACAACGAGCATGAGAATTTGGTTCGGTAGACTTTGGAGGATTGCCTGCAGGAAATTAGCCAATGCCCTCACGAAAGAATTGAGATTTTTCAGCAGCAACATTGAACAGACCATCGTGGAAGATAAGCTCTTTAGATTGCGACAAGTATGCAGAAGACGGTACAGTAAGCTGTGGATGAGACGAACTTGTAATACTGCTTTTCTGGCGCAGGCTTCGGCCTTATATATTGGTCACGATTTCTCAGGACTGCTATTCTCACCAGCCAGTATTGGCCCATTGTTTGTTTCTTCGAAAGACAGGATGGAACGGAAGTCTTAGGTCGTGAAAGTGAGGGCCGTAACCGGATTAGAGCAAATTGGATACGCGAGAGACACTAATAGTGGATGCAACGGGAAGATGGTACGATTATGAATAGATGAGCTGTAATATTGCATGTCTAGTGAGGAGCCTGACCTTTATATGTTGGCCACGACGTCTCATCTCGCTGAATGGTTCCTGGAAACGCACCAAAAGCTCCTGAAGACAGTGGGTCTGTTGCGGGGATCATACTTGTGAGCTCCAGGGAACTTTAAAGACCCTAGGAGCTCCCTAAGGATCTCTGCAAGTATGACTGGTGACTTGTCGCGGGTCCCTGACTTATCAGAATGCCACAGGGCTGCATAGAGAGGCGGTCGCCTTCATCCAATTCATGACCACCAAAACAAGGAGACCTCAGCTAGAAAAGACACATTCCTTCACTGCGGTAGGCAGCTCCGTATGAGTGATGTTGCTGATGAGGTGAATTCGTATGATTTCAGACGAAGCCGTACTGGGGTATAAAGGAGTGGCTTCGGCCCTTGGTTGGCATCTCAATCGTTAGAATCGTTTCTCATTTCCAGCATATCACCAAGTCATGTCTTCGTACCAACCGTGGGGCGGTTTTATTCTTAACGAGATAGGTATCGGGGAGGCTCGAATCTGCTGCGGGACTACCAAGACGGGCGCACCGTGCAAGAACTCCATCAAAATCCAAGACATCAAGGCTGGCCAACAGCAACTGGCAAATCTTGCAGCACGACCACCCGACTTCTCGACTTTACGGCCTATTTTATGTTACGGCCTATTTTATGTGATATTGCAAAAAACTTTCTCTGTGTCAGATGGCACCGGCAGCGACAGGCCAACCAAGTTGGCCAGCAGTGGTATGAGGCCGTGGCTCGCTGCCCGGAACAAGCCGGTCACATCTCCGAGGATGCTTCTGTAGCATTTGATACAGATGCCAGTCAGAGCCAGCGACCCACCCTCACGAGTCCCTCAGAGTCGGAGATTCCCCGCAGGGTTACTCGTCAGAACGAGGAGAGACAAATGCTACCGGGCCGTGACTCCGTTCCTCTCCAGACATTAGAAAGGACAGTTCGATACGTCACGGCATCGATGCTGCGCACCGACAGTGTTCCGTGGTGTATCTCATCGGCTGAACCAGCCACTCTATCCGGGTTGAATATCGGGGCGGGGATGCAACGTCTGGAACTGCACAGCCTCATTCGTAGCGACGAGGTGTCACTTATACATTGTCCATTTTGTCTGGGTGATGGGGAAGACCACGCGGATGAGAGCGTGATCCTACGTTGCAAAGAGTGCCGGGGATTAGCTCATCTAGGCTGCGTGGAGGAGTGGCTGGAGAAGCGCGAGGTGGCATCTAACGTGTCCTGCTGTACCTGGTAAGTCTCGATTAGCCTCCCCAGTTACTTCAAATGCTCATACGCCGTAGCCGAAGGGACGACGCTCTGGATGCCCTGCTCCGCCCGCCGAGGACGATCACGACAAATCCCGACATCGATGTTGAAAACGCGAGAGTACGTGCATCTCCAGTGGCGGAAGAGACGAATACCATCGAAAACCCTCGGCGGGCCGGTTCGGCCCGTCTCCCGGCGCGGTCAGGGTCATCGCGCCGCAGATCAACAATGTCTGGTGTGGGAGGCAGTGTCCGTCGGTCAGCCCGTCTGGCTAACACCACTCCTTCCCTTCGCCGGTCGTCGCGTCTGAACCGATCACAGCCACAAGGTGGTGCATACGTCGGTGGTGGGTAGATGAACGAGTGTGCGAGGTACGGAGTCAATATTCATTCGACTGTTTCCGCACATGCCTAGACAGCTGTTAGATGACAATCCATTCTGGTCACCGCCATGAATCAAATTGCGCTGCAAATGTGCGAGAAGACTAGTAACACGCAACCTTAATAATTCATCAAACTTTGGTGACATGGATGCGGAGGCGGGGAGATCTGGGGGTTCGACAGTAGATAGTAAGACGGGCGTGCAGTAGCTTTGAATAAGACGAATTAGAGTCAACTCGGACGCCTGCGGAACACGTAGAATGTTAGTATATCATACTTGAACGGAATACAATGGAATTACCGTCTGTCCTCCTCGCGCCTTACTATCAAAGCCTCATATGCTGCAGAGAGTGCAGACATTGTCCGAATGTTATTGGAGAGCAGCTTTGACGTCCTCATATGCCCCTGGTGAGCCTGGATCGGATGGAACCCCGTAGAAAGCCCGATCCTCGTTCAGCGCAATCGTAGCATAATATGTCGACGTGTGCGACAGACCGGTAAAGAGGCACATTCGGTGTGTCTGACGAGCGAATTGCTGACGGCAGTCACAGGACATCACTTCGTTTGGGAGGGCTGTACCAAAGGGGTCAGCGTTGTTCCCTGGATGATTAATGACCATTTACCTGCTTTATCGTGGAGAAGCCCCGCCTCAGCGTTTGCACATTTGTCATCATGAAGCACAACATGGTAGTCCGGGCCGCTGGAGCCGAGTGTGCGAAAGGATTCCGTCTCATTGTCTTCCCAACTGACCAAAATGCCCCCTGGGTATGCCTTCAACTTGATGCTGTGCGGCAAGTATCGTAGTCGCCGTCCAATCTGGCGCATGAATTTCATTTCAGCTGGTCGAGACGTCGGATGCGCTTTGAACATGGACGCAATCGATCGAACCAAGAGCTCTTCCACCACATGGCAACAGAAAAAGGGGGCGTTTGTGCCGGCAAGGTTGCTCGGAGACCAGGGCCGGCAGAATGACCGGTGGTGCATACAAGCAAAGTCCAGCCATCGGCAATGTATCTTGAGCGTACCATGTCCCTTGTCAAAGTATACGTCGACTTTGCCGGCCGAACCTCGGACGTAGACTACCTGAATATGGTCGGTGAACTTCAACAGAGCGAAGCAGGCTCGCAACGCGCGGTCGACTGTTCTTGCGAATGTTGTGTCTGGGACGACGCAGGGCTTTGCATCCTTAAACAGCTCTTGCTGCTCCTCTTCGACGGTTCGGATGGGGCAGTGGGCACGCAGCATGTGCCACAGCGTGTCGGGCAGGCGTGTCGGGCGCTTGCCGAGGCTGTCCCGGATTGTATTCGTGGTCTGTATGCATCAGTTGTTAAATTACGGAAATGTCTATACCCGTGAACATACCTGGTCATTGCTCCTCTCGCTATAAAAGAATTCCTTATCTGCTGATTCTCGCAGCAGGTACTGCCAGATCTGACGCGCCGTCAACGGCTTTAGGAGAGGGCCTATCATCTCGGCGTCGGCACCGGGATTCTTCCGCAAAATATCGACAAGTAGAGGCAAGATGATGTCTTCCTGCTTGCGTAGAGCTTCCTCCCATATCTGTTGCACTTGGCGAGCCGCATTCCTCCAGGATTACAGTCTGTGACGATCGCGGCAGGTGGTCAAAGAGGCAAAATTGTACGCGAAGAGGAATGCGCCACCCACGGTGGAATTGGTCAAGGTGATCCCATTGTGATACAGCTGACGTCGCAGCTGGGGATCAAGAATTAAGTCGCCATGTGGTGTGGAAATGATACCGGCAGGGTAGGTGAGCCCGCGAATGTCCATCGTAGTCGAGCGGAGCCAATCCACAAACGCATCTAGCGCGACTGGTCGGCCTGACTTGGCCCGCCTCGCGCCGATTACGACTGCCACGTCCCTCCCCACAAGGTAACGTAGGCTTCCCATGTCGAGGGCAGGATCGGTCCGTTCGATCGAATTGGTTTTCTGAGACGGTGCGACAGTACAAGAAACCGATGCGTCTGTGTGCATGTCAAACCTCCAATTGCAACCACTCGCGGTGATACTCACTTGGTAACCATCTCGAGAGAGAACCAAGGCCGCCAGCTTGAGACCCTCCCCGTGACGCCCCACAAGATGGTCGTGGGCACCGTGGACATCTTTGGTTGAGAATCCCATAGCTAGAGCATTGATGGGTAGTCGCATGCATGGATTTGCGATGGTGATTCTGCCGGTCTTTTTTTCGTACTGAATGAAGCCTAGTGCACGTCGATTCTCACGCTCCGCTGGCTGGTCGGCAAGGGTTTGATGGGGAACAATGATTGAGAGATGGTCACTGTAGTCTTCCAACAATGGCTGGAAGCTCTGACGGTCAAGATTGAATCTTTCTATGATGGCGTCCTTCCTGCGTGGATTAGCGTTTGTCTAGCGGAAGAGGCTGGCACGTACCAATTTTGATACAATTCCCGAAAAGCATCTGCTGACACCCAGTCTTTGACGTAGCTGGGGGAGATGCCGAGAGACACCACGCGTCGGGGCGCTCGGTTGGTAGCGAGTGTACGTTTCTGGCTCTGTAGCAACTCGCGTTCAAGCTGCTCGTTCGCCTGAGCCATCAGGCTACTATCCTCGCGGCTATCATCCTCGCTTGTGTCAGTATCATGATTGGTTGCCATACTTGAATGTCACGTAGGTGAATCAAAGTGAGTTGGTTTTGGGAAGAGAATTGACTGGAGAAGGGTGACGGAATTTATATTCTGGTTTCCGTACTGAACCATGAGACCTATTACAAATGTTGAACAACGGTCATCTCTCTATCATACTCTAACAGTCCTATGATGAAGGCAAGTGCCTCACTTACTTGAGCCTTGCGTGTAGGATTGACAAGCGAACGTTCTAGGCGCTCAGTGGTTTCGAGTTGATGCTCAACGTTAACGGCGTGGCTCACGTTTTGCGGGTGATGCGGTAAACGTTCGCCCACTGCTTTCCTGGTGTCCGCTTAACAATGAGTCAACATGCGTGCAAAATATCTGCTCAGTTTCTATCTTGGCACCACATTTACAGGTAACCGAAATGAGCATGCAAAATGTGGTAGCACAAACGATTGTTCTCTTCTATAAGGAAATTGCTCATGAGTTTAGGCGTAACTTACCAGATAGGAAACTTGTTGACTCCATACAGTATGACCTACGCACCATTCACAAGGAGTAATAACTAGACGGACTCATTCTTCTTACTAAGCAAGACGGGCAAGACGGAGGGTTGCCAGTGATGTGTTTGTCTTAGGCCGTTCCGGAAAGCGTATGGACCTCAGGGAGCCAAGCCGATTTGGCGCCTTTCACAATTGCTAAAGTCGGCAGTGGTCGCAACGAGCAGGCCTGTTGACCCCAGGAACGCAGAAGGGGAGACAGGATTCATCACACATCCCTCTAGGCACCTGGTCTATTCTAGGAAAATCTGGTCTTCCCCCAGTTCTACAATATATCGGTTTTTCGATAGCAAATAGCATTGACGAATAATCTCCAATCTTTTCTAGGTCTGGCTCAGGAACAGGAGCCGGAGATGGAGACCCAATACTACCGGCCTTTTCCCACCTGTGAGTTAGCTTTTCGTTAGCTAGAATTGACGCCACTATACTGCTGTGTAGGTGTCCCCCTTATGCGATAATCTTCCCTAACGAGAACCTTACTTCAGATTAGGCATAAAACGACCAAAATCATCTCAGCAGTGACAATGAGCCGTTTCATTGGTTTGCTAGAGAGGCTACTTGTAATTATCTGCTAAGTTTTGTATAAATACATCTGGATTCAGGTCTGTTGCCAAGGGTTTGTGTGCAAAGGGAAGGCCGCATCTGGGAAATATGTGGGCAGCTCCGTGCGCGGTCGTAAAGACAATCGGAAGAGTCTCGGCTGATCATCCCTAGGGCTAGAGATGATATCCATTATTTGTCTGCGCACCCAGTAGAGATCGTATCTGCCATATGTGGTCGAAGACAGGTGGAACAGATGCTCCTCAGTTGTCTGGCCCGTGAGCTGATCTATCTCCGTGAGGCGTATCTCCACGCAATGTAGTAGCCTGGCTGGGATAAATGCTGACATATAGACCATCACATCTTCACATTGAGTCGTAGCGGAAAGAAGATCTGGGCCCGGCCAGTTAAAGCCCGCTTGAAGATTCTCCGGATCAGGAAAAAGAACACACTCCACTGAGGGTGGTATCGAGCCACTTGGGTCAATACGTTGGCCTCCGATAGTTGAATCTAGCAAAATACCATCACATTCAGTGGCCAGGAGGGGTGGTGTTGCTGGGATGTCAGATGAGGTGGACCAAAACTCGTGAAGGCCAATATATTCTAGACTGTGATGAGCTTGGAACTTGACGTTGTGGTGCAGTGCTTGGGGATACCTTTATCCTCAATGTTCATGTTTAGCTGTCATGGCCTTTGACAACCAAGTGATAGTCTTCCCAGAATTTAACAAGGAGGCGTAGTATGAGCGACTGGAGACTGGACAAGCCTTTTATATAACTGAAGGCCTAGATCAGAAGGTCAGGGATGATAGATTGTTACTTTCGACGTAGTAAAAGTGCCTTTACCAAGAGCCTTGAAGCCACTTTACTTTCCTCTTGACGTCATACTGCCTAGAATGGTATACAATGTTTTGATATCTGGGCCATTTCCATTGACCAACGATTCCCTGTTAACTAGCACTGGTGAGCGTTGGGATTGAATCTAAAACAAAGTATGTGGTAAAGTCGAAAGTTTAATGTGACAATGCCCAGGTTTAGCAAAGAACGTTGAAACGTTTAACATCAACATCAACATCAACATCAACACTAACATCAACATCAATATCAAGTCAACATAAAACCTGAGCCTTTTCAACGCCGTTGAACCCGTTGAGCCCCGGTGTGGTAGGAGGGAGTGAGGTGGTTAGGTTGTGAGATTGTGAAGAGAAGAAATTTCGTAGATCTCGCCACAGTTCATAGTGTCCACATTTTCTCGGTTCAGGTACGGTAAATTTACTGGTCAAACATTTCTTCACTTTGGTGACCTAGGACAACTCTGCCCCGTCTCTGCCAAACAGACAAGACTAACATATATAAACGGACATCCAACACTCTATTTTCTCGATTCTCATCAATTTTGCTTTCGTTCCTCTGAGGAACAAAGGAAATGCACTTCTCAATCTTTGTCCTTCTCGCCAGCGCCTACGCGAACATCTCCTTCGGCGGCAGTGTTGAGGTTTTTGATTCCGATGGTCAATGCATAATATGGTCTAATGATAACCATGGTTGCACGGGACATTCTGCACCTTTTGCTAAACTGGATGGACAGGACTGTTCAAGTAAGGAATTATCTGGAACTAGGATGGACATGATTCTAACGAGCGTCTAGAATTGGGCGAAGTGAACGGTACCCGTCAGGACCACACTTGGCTTTATGTGTATGCTTGTGGCACGGAAAATGGTGCGCCAGCTGCACTTATTAAGGTGGAGCAGACTGGCCAGGTCACCTTTGCCAATCAGAATGGAGATAAGGCCGCATGTGCATTGAACAATGGACTGAGGATTGGCAGCCATTGCACTCCTTCAGACTCTACGTCTGCCTCAAATTCAGCCCCGGCTCCCATTTTATCTCCAGCTTCGTCGTCGATTCCTCATCCATCCTCGACTTCCTCGTTGGCGGTATCCACTTGTGGTTGTTTCCCAAACTGAAGCAATGTTGCGGATTTGGTACAACAGACATTACTCTTGGAACGGATTGGGCATATTGTTCACTTCTTTGGTACAACGACCCATTAGAACTCTAATATATCTTCCAGTGTTTTCCCCCATTGCAAGATATTTTGTATCAATGCTCTTACTATAGCAAGTAAAATAGATTAGACATATTCAATTTTTACAGCACGGAATGGCGATATGAGCTTACCAGTCATAGCAGGGCAGAGTAGATCCCACCTTGCGCTTCTCCGGCCACTCTTCTACACAACCCAGATGAGCTAACATCACACCTGGCACCGTTTGTGAGGCAGGACCACGCGCTCGTCCGCCTAGTCTTCAGTCAGCTTCAGCATTGGCACTGATATTGAATTTCGATAATGTGGCTAGTTGAGACGTCGAAATTCATCATGGAACGTTGTTGGTATATAGCCATGAGGCGGTGGTGTATCGGATGATTCTTTCCTGTGACTCGGGAGGAGTGTCTGGTAATGCTCTCGTGGCAAGCAACCTCCAACTGAGCCGGTGAGATACAGAGATACACCACGGAGCGCTGTTGGTTTGCAACATCGAGACCGTGACGTACCTGCGGATTCTTTCCGAAGGCCTGAGAGGAACCGGGTCGCGGACCGGGGATAATGTGGCTCTAGAGGAAAGCACCGGTTCTGAGGGGCGCCCAAATGTCGATCGCTGGCTCTGGTCCGCTTTGGTACTCTATCCGTTGCAACGGCGGCGGCCTCAGAGGTGCGTCTGGTATGTCCGGGGCTCGATTGGCAGCCTCATACCACTGCCGACCAAGCTGGTCAGCCTGTCGCTGTCGGAGCCATCTGGCACAGAGAAAGTTCCTCGCGATATCAAACAAGGTGGAACATAAAGTAAATGAAGGCAATCATTCTGGCAGGTCATGCACCGCCACAAGTCACTTGCATGCTTCTGGTCGTCTTAGAAGAGCTCCTAGGATATCCTGGGCTCCCTGGAGCTCCCAAGCATGATCCTCGGGTGGAGACACTGTCTCCAGGAACATTCAATTGTTCTCAGGAGCTATCTACTTAGAATAGAAGTCCCGAGAAGTCGTTCTCTAATATCAGTCTCAGAACCCTCCTAGAAAAGCAGTGATAAGTTCTTCTCATCCACAAGCTTGCCGTCCTCTGCATACTTCTCGCATTCTACAAGAGCTTATCTCCCATGATGGTCTGTTCAATGTTGCTGCTGAAAAGTCTCAATTCTTTAGTGAGGGCATTGGCTAATTTCCTGCAGGCAATCCTCCAAAGCCTACCAAACCAAATTCTCATGCTCATTGCCACTCAGCTAAACGTTCGTGACATGGCCTCCTTGGGCAAATCATGTTGGAATCTTTATCACAGATTGCAGCCCAGCATCCTCAAGTACAACATTCAGTTCCAGAACAGCGATCTCCTTCACCTGGCAGCCAGAGACAACGATTATGCTCGGGCCGAGCTCCTGCTTCTTTATGGTGCCAATGCCAACACCTTCCTGCATGGAAAGACTCCGTTGATGAGAGCTATTCAACGTGGATCGTTAGACGTTCTCGAACTTCTACTCAGTCATAGGAATATTGATCTTCGGTTGCAAAATCAAGAGGGAGAAAGTACCTTGACCTACGCCGTCCAATACGGAACCTGCGCAGGCAAGGGAAGGTTGGTCAAGCCCCAGCTTGGTAACAAAACCAGACACGAACACGACAGGACTGTGCCTCCTATGGACACTTGCACTAGTCACGTTGGATCTCTTCCGTGGCTATGGATTCCGTTCAATGGTCCGAGAGCTAAGAGCGGTCGAGGCTATCGACTTAGAAACTGGGTTCGACGGGCCAAGTCTCAACGTTGATGCAACTTGATCGTTTCCGAGGGGAGCATTTAGACTTTGATAAACTGTGAACGCCAACGTTACGAAGTTTACCGTTGCACTGGTAGAAATTATGTATATTATATCATGAAGAGATATGCGGCCTATTTAAGCACTCATGAGAGTCAGATTACATCCAGCAACAAATCGGCCACCATGAGCTCTTCGAAACGTCCTTTGTCTTCTCCTACATTCCAGTCCTCCAAAAGACAACAGGTACATCGAGAGACTGACGGTGAGTTGCCGGAGCAAATTCACGATCAACCACCTGAGAAAATCATTTCGGCGGACGGAAACAAGGTTATATAGCCTCCCACTTATTGTATGACTATGCTGATTTAGGCTTCCTCTCCTTCAGCAAGCCTCACCACGGAGTTTGAATACATATTGCGTCATCACAGCTCCCTCGCAGCTTCTATCGTCGGCCTTCTTGACTTGTATCTCTGCTTGTGGAAATGCTACGTTGTCGATTCTGCATTGAAGATACGACTTGAGGAAGAGCAATGTCATCTTCAGAGGTCAATCGAGTGGCTGACCGCCGAATGTGATGTACTGCGCCAGTGCTGCAACGATCAGGCTCTGGAGCTGTTTGGCCGCAGGCAAGCTGTGGCTGCCTTGAATGATGGGATTGTCGAGGTTTTGAAGGCGAGCGAGAAACGCGCCTTCAGGATGATTGAGTTAAACTAGTGTCTCCACGGCACGATAAAGGAGAATACAAGGAGAGCTGGTTGTTTTTTGGCGTCCGTTATGTTTGCAAGTCTCATTCTCGGTGAGCGATCGCTTACTTTTGCTATGGCCAACATCACTTGTCCACGGCTTCTGTGTGCGAGTGTCTCTGCAAGTGAATATGTCGGCTACGAAATGTTCCTCTCAGGTTTGAATCAGCTTCTATTCCATTCCTATTTCCCAACTCCTTCCGGTTTTCGACATAAATCTAATTTTATATTCCAAAATATTGGTTGTTCCATTTTAACTCAACCCGTAAAGGGAGGCTTGTGGTGGGAATTGTATCTCTTTTTCCACTACCACTATCCAGGATCAGACCCTTCCCCTTGGACACTTTGCGGGGGATCAAATCTTAATCACACTTTAATGTGCAATAATTGATTTCAGCCACGGGCGATTTCTTCAACAACAATGGCATAGCTGAGGCTTCTGTGACCCTTTGCTGATATAGTCGGTTTATTCATTGGTTATATCATTTTCGGTGTCCAAAAAACGCTAATGTAGAGACTTCAAAAGTGGAAGGGTCTGTTATAGTCTTATCATCATCTTGGATTTCCCAAAATATCTCCTCCGATGATCGTTCCACTGCCGCCATGTTCCTTTCACTCCCCATCATTCACTGTGCTCTGAGCTAGGACCCCCTCGAAGTACCGGTCCCAATCCTTAAGAATATCAGACAATCGAATCCGAGATGACTCTAGTGCCTGGTCAAAAAATTGCAACCGAGCAATTTGCTCATCGTGACACGACTGCATTTTGTTCCTCTCGTCGGTCAATTGTCGGTGAGTCTCTCGTAGACCGTGATTCGCTTTGGCCAACTTGCTTCCCTCTATATGCTTCGATGTGCATGACTCCCACAAGCGCCGATACTGTCCGACGATTCTTGCGGCTTGAAACGCAAGTTTAGGGTCTTCGCGTTCGAGCTGCGCGAGAGCTTCCATAGCAGGCTCAAACGGCTGATCCATCAAGGGAGGTCTCTGTGGGTCTTCGGGCTGTCCAACGGTGGTCAGCTCAATCATCAAAATGGTCGTGCTTTCCCTACTCACAGCAGGTGGGTCCGAGGGTGGATCGACCGTAGTCTGCGGGTTGTCTTGATTCTCGGGGGCAGTTTTGCCAATCGGAGGATGGTCATTTGGGAGCTGATCCTCCGCATGGTCTTTGACAGGTCGGGCATGAGAAGCGTCCATATTGAGTCGAGCGTGATCGTGGAAGATGCCTTTGCTGCTTCGCGACGCTGCACGAGAAGTTATATCTTTTTCGATGTACGTTTCAGTGAACAGAAATAGAAATTGTTCCAAAATAATGACTATACATACAATTAAGCGTATTATTAGGGTGGTCAAACGTTGATAGTGTGAATCAACGGATTAATTCCCTGGCGAAATGATCACCTTCCCCGCTCATGCCCACGCAACTGCGCATGAATGAGGCCAGTTGAATCAGATTCTGTACACAGTTCGAGGATTTAGGAAACTGGTTCTACTTGCAACATCTGCACGTCCCGTACAGTATAGCACTCGCCAGTTGCTACCCCATCCTAGCTATGTCCAGTACCTTATCTTACGGACTT